CGAAGTAGGTTGCCTTCCATTATATATCTGCAAAAAAAATTATATAAGTAAAATATTAAATAAATTAAATACTTAAATAAATTAAATACAAAATATTAAAAATATAATAAAATATACCTTAAACTGAGAATATAATGTGACGTTCGGTTCGCTGGAATGTTTATGAGGGAATTGAAATCTGTGAAGGAATTTGAATCTGTAGGAATTGGAATCTAATTCTATATTTTGTTTAGTTGACAGGAAATGCAATTGGAATCCAATTCCATATTCTGTTTGGTTCGCAGACATGTCAAATGAATTTGATTTCAGTAATGTAAAATGACAGAATTGCCCTTCTTGTTTTTTGCTTTATTTTAGTTTATTTTATAACTTACATGTAGTAATATATTATAAAAAATTAAAAAAATATTAAAATTTCATTTTATTGATTGATTATTCATTTCAATAAATTATAAAAATCATGCTAATAAACATTATAAGTTAAAATAATCGCAATCAAAATATGTTAATTAGTTACCAAAAGATAGAGCAATATTTCGATACATTCCAATCGGAGTATATTAATTAGTTACAAAAAAATATACCAAAAACTATTTTTATTCAATATATGAATTAGAAACTCGACCCGACACGACTCAAAATAATAACAAAATTATTTTTATTCAATAAAAGCATTGACTTAATCGAAAAAAATTATATATAGAGGGGTATTATTATAATTATTCCTAAATATATAAGGTAAAATTATATATTTTTTCCGAGTCGGTACGATTTTTTTACCCTAAACTAGAACCCGACCCGACATGACCCGAATATCACACTTAAAAAAACCTGACCCGACCCGACCCGAATTATATATATTTTCGGGTCGGTCCGGTTTTTTTCACCCTAAACCCGAACCGGATCCGAATATCACACTTAAAAAAACCTGACCTGAATATCACACTTAAAAAACCGACCCGACCCTAACAAAATAAAGTTTCATCCGACCCGACCCGAATATATGAATTAGAAATCCAACCCGACCCGACCCGAAATAATAAAAAATTATTTTTATTTAATAAAAACAGTGACTTAATCCGACCCGACCTGAATTATATATATTTTCGGGTTGGTCCGATTTTTTTCACCCTAAACCCGAACCCAACCCGAATATCACACTTAAAAAAACCTGATCTGACCCGACAAAAATAAAGTTTCACCCGACCCGACCCAAATATATGAATTAGATACCCGACCCGACCCGAAATAATAAAAAAATATATTTATTCAATATATGAATAAGTTATCAAATGATTGATGAGGGTAGTATGGTCAAATTTTAATTCCCTCCAACAAGGGAATTGAATTCCATCCATTTTTGGATAGAATTCACTTTCTCTCATTTGATAGAATTGAATTCCATCAGGGATTCCAATTCCCTTGAATAACTTGAACAAAACATGGGAAAGTGGTGGAATTGGATTTCAATTCCCACCAATTCCAAGGGATTCCATCCAACCAAACGTCACCTAAGTGTATTTGAGAGAAGTTGAGAGAATTTGGTGTGATGAAAGTGATTGAGGATGAGGTATTTATAGGGAAGGATTGGGGTGTGAAGCGTCAGGGTAGGTGGGTAATTAAACATGCGGCGCGCCTTACTGACGCGTGGCAGATTCACAGGTAAGGCGTGGCCCCTGACCTGCGCTATACCCTACGTGGCCTAAGGCGCGCCCCAGGGGCCGCGCTATACACACGTGTATCTAATGTCAGCATAAGGCGCGCACCTTATCAACGTTAAACGTGCTGCATGGGGCGCGTCTTTCTGCAAAGGGTGTTAGATCGAGAAAAATAATCTGAACGGTGCATGATCGGGAATATTAAATGAAAAAGGTGATTTTTCGGGATAATCACAAGGCGCGCCTTTATGCAAAAGTGTTAGATCGGGAAATATAATATGAACGGTGCATGATCGAAAATATTAAATGGAAAAGGTGATTTTTTGGGATAATCACCAACTTAAGCGAACTTGAATTAATTATTTTATAAAAGATTAACTTATTAAAAATTGAAATAAATATGTGACAACGTTATTTTTTTTTTTAAAAAAATATGATTTTTTATATACGATTAATATTCGTATTTACCTTTAAGGTGTCATATTCTCTCATTTAATCTCGTAATATTTTTGTCACAATTTAAAGTTGTTCATTTTATATGTCTCATTCGTTGAAACGTTGAATATAAAATAGATTAATTAAAAAGTAATTCTTATATCACTTATCACAATATCATTATTGTTTTATCATAAAATATTAGAGTAAGAGTAATGACATGTATGATCCCGCGTCTCAATTCTTTCACATTTTATAATTTATAATTTGATTAATAAATTATATTTTTAGAATTTTGAAATTGTGATATATTGGTTCGATAATCCATAAAAAACATTTTTACAAGATAAAAACCTTTAATTTTATTAAAATATAAAATTATACAAATTATAATTAAATGTTATAGCCATTAAAAATAACTAAAACACATAATAAAAATATTTTCTTATAATCATTAACACAAGAAATTAATCACTAAAGATGGCACAATGATCACACAAGAAAATTGTTAAAAATTTAATCAAATAAACTCAAACAAAAGGTAAATAAGAAAATATCTAAATGCATCGGTAAATAAATCACAAAATAAGATCAAACTATTAAAATATTATCGATAAACAACAAATCATAACCGAATAACTTGAGAAAACTATATACAAACATAAATCGCGTATTCAAATCAAATCTGATGGTCAAAAACAGAGAATATCAACATAATAACAAATAAGTATAATGTCAACTTGATTAGACGTGACAATGTCAAATTTAATAATAATAAAAACTCGAAAATAATGCTCAAACAATTAAAAATATACCAAAAGATAGAAAAAATATGTCATAAAGACATAATTATTAAAAATGAAAAAAATAAAATAATATAATATAATAAACACCAACCTAAAACTGGTAATAAAAAAACAAAATACTAACCACCACACCTTAAAAAATAACTTTTAAAGAATGATTTTCTAATTACATAATTAAAGATAAACTTTATAAAATATTGTTACAGAAATAAGTTTTGGTTAGTAATGATTATAAATGATTAGTAATAATTATAAGGTAATATTTTATTAAAATTCTTTTAATTAGTTATTAACAAATATATATTTATAAATATAATTATTTAAATCGAAAATCTTTAAAAGGAAATATATTTTATAGCATTGAGTTTACTTATAGGTTCTCACCGATCATTCTGTCAGATATTAATATGAAGCACGTATCACATTTTGTGGCAATATTTGTCTGTTTTTCGCGTTACATCTATTCATTATTCCTTGATTATGTTTTCATTTTTTCATAAATAAAAACATCAGTCTTTCATATAAAATTTCATTAGATATTGATGGATAACACATATTATTATATTTATCCATTTTTCATATTTATTTTTCTCATTATCATCAACTTTTTAGATTAATTTCACAAATAAAAAAAGTGTCAAAACATGTTTTAGTGATGATGTTAAAGACCTAACATCAGAGCAACCTAAACTAGCAAAAGTGTTTAGTTATAAAATTATTTTTTCTACAGTTGGGCTAAAACAAAAATTCGTTAAAAATATAATAGATAATAATTATATTTTAACGAAAATAACAGTATACTTAAAATGAATTATTCAATAATATTTAAATCGGTCAATTTTGAAAACAATTTTAAGTTTTATTCTTTATATAAATAAATGGAAAAAATAATAAATTGTATTTTAATTTATTTAATATTCCGAGAGTTAAGATTCTTTGATAAAATATAAAACTTTTAATTGTATTTTAGTTAAATTTATAAAATTAAAATTAAATTTAAAATTAAATCGAGTTCTTTTTTCAGTTTTAATTGTTGCATTTACACTTCTACCTATGAAATCATTTAAATAAATGGGATAATGATGCCTTTTTGGCAATAAACCAGAGATAAATGACTGTCCCTTTTTTCCGATATATATGGGATAAGGAGAGGTAAGATAGTAAACTACCCCTAATACCAGGTTGAGAGCAGCTTCCGTAGGATACCTCCGAATTATGAAATGCCCTCCGTGAGACTCGATCCCACGACCTCAAAGTTAAAAACCTTGTGTTCTACTAACTGAGCTAGATGGTCATTTCGTAATAAACCAGAGATATTTAACGAAAATATTTTTTTACGTTTAACGAACCAATGAAAAGCGTCAAATTAATCCCTCCGTGCCCTCCTAAAGAAAAGTTGTAGTTGATTGGGGAGAATTTAAAGAATGATAATTTAATTTAAGGTTAATAAAAGATATGATCGAAAATATTATAAAATTTATTTTAAATTAGATGTAACTTAATGTGTTAAATTCTTTTTAATATTTTTTATTAAAAATTTTATTTATAATATTTTTGATTATTATTGAAAATATTTATTTTTTCATAATAGTTTTAGTTTAACCGAAAATATATAACGTTTTAAGTTACATCTAACCTAAAATATTATATTTTTATAATATTTTACATCACACTTAAAAAAAATCAACTTGTCACACATATATAAGGTAAATTTAGGTTGAACTTTTAAACCGTTTGGACAAGATTAAACTATTACACAAACTTAGGTTGCCTAGTTAAAATTACCGAAAGCCAATAAGTTAATGCCACGTTAAAAATAAGGAAATCCCCCAGAATTTCCATGTTGACGATAATAACCTTCACTTTAGTTTTTAATGACATTACTTTGATCAATAAAAACGAGGCGTTACTATTTGATAGGTCAGAACTTAAGGGGGGGGGGGAATAACGTCATTTCGCCCATTCGCCTTATTTTATTCATATTCTCCCCTCTCCATTAGACCGCCCATTTTAGTTTTTATCTAAAAAGAATATTTTTTCTTCATTTTATGTTTTTTTAAGTGAAAGAACAAGCAGCAGTGACGTGGGAAATAGAGAGAATCTGTTCATTTTGAAGATGCATCTGTATAAATCTAATTGAGATTTTGATTTCTTTTTTCAATTTTGAAGATACATCTGAAAGAAGACCCAGTTCTTTTTTTTCAGAGTAGATCTGTATAAATCTATCCTTTTATTGATTTCCAGTAACTCGGATGGATTCTTAAACTGGTAAGTTGGTTTTGGTTTTGGTTTTTAGTTTAATAGTTAGATTGATCACATGCTATGGAATCTTTTGATTTCTCCAGAACTATATCTTTTATCTACTTCTACTGTGAGTGATTTATTATATTGTTTTTTCAAAGTTAATTTCAGTTTGATAGTGACGACTAGTGAAAGATCTGTTGCAAGATCCTTTATGCATTTTACTGATAACATATAGCGAGTTTTTTTTTTAATTTATTTTTCTGATATTTATGCTTTTGATCTTTTTTTTGTTGTATAATAATTTTTTACTATCTGTTTAGGTTGACATGTTCTTGATAAACATTGACTTGGCCTTTGCTGTTGTTTTCTTAGAATCCCAAGTGGGATTATCTATTTATTTTGTGTTTTCTTTGTCGAATAATATCTTTTGGAATATTTGATCATACAGATGAAACTAACCTTTTTCCATATATTGATTCTAATGGGTGCTTCTTCTTTTTAAAAGATCTCAGTTGGATTCTTTTCAAATGAAAGCATGTGCTGTGAATGGGAGCGGTTAAACCCGAAGGCGAATCTGATAACATCGAATACTTCTTTTGAAAATAGCAGACACTCTAGTGTAGACATGAATCACCCAACTGTAGTGACTGAAGATACTTTTGCAAGTTTGCTTGAGCTTGCTGCTAATAATGATGTCGAGGGCTTTAAACAATTGATACGGCTTGATCCTACCGGTGTTGATGAAGTTGGGTTGTGGTATGGTCGCCAGAAAGGCTCGAAACAGATGGTTAATGAGGAGAGAACTCCGTTGATGGTTGCTTCTATGTACGGTAGCATCGATGTTATTAAGCAGATCCTTTTATCTTCGGACGCTGATGTTAACCGTGTGTGTGGAAGTGACAAAAGCACTGCCCTTCATTGTGCTGCATCCGGTGGGGCTGTCAATGTTGTTGGAGTTGTGAAGCTGCTTTTAGCGGCTGGTGCCGATGTGAATATGGTTGATGCAAATGGCCATTTTCCTGTTGATGTTATCTTCGTTCCTCCGAAGCTTCCGGATGTGAAAATAACTCTTGAAGAACTCCTTGCAACCGAGAGTTCCAGGTTTGATCTGAATTCAAGGGCATCAACCGTTGCAAATTCCGACTCTCCTCTATTGCCTTTGCAGGAAAATGGGTCTTTTCCATCTGGTTCGGATTCCCCGAAAAAGTTGAGGCCAGGTGATGCTACTTTTTCTTCTGCCTCGGAGAAAAAAGAATACCCCATTGATCCATCTCTTCCAGACATCAAGAATAGCATCTATTCAACTGATGAGTTTCGGATGTATTCATTCAAGGTGCGACTTTGTTCACGTGCCTACTCCCATGATTGGACTGAGTGCCCATTTGTTCATCCCGGGGAGAATGCTCGAAGAAGGGATCCTAGGAAGTTCCATTACAGTTGCGTTCCTTGCCCCGATTTTCGCAGGGGGGCATGCAGGCGCGGAGATATGTGTGAATATGCTCATGGTGTTTTTGAGTGCTGGCTACACCCTGCTCAGTATCGGACCCGGTTGTGCAAGGATGGTACTGATTGTGATAGGAGAGTCTGCTTCTTTGCTCACAGGCCCGAGGAACTTCGACCTCTGTATGTCTCCACTGGTTCTGCTGTTCCATCTCCTCGATCAAGTACTCCCGGTGCTTCAACTATGGATTTTTCTGCTGCCATGAGTCTCTTGCCCGGATCACCTTCATCCGTATCAGTTATGTCTCCGTCATCGTTTACTCCACCCATTTCGCCCTCCATGAATGGCATGTCTCATTCTAATGTTGGCTGGCCACAACCTAATGTTCCAGCGCTGCATCTTCCAGGAAGCAACCTTCAATCTAGTCGGCTGCGATCTTCTCTTAATGCGAGAGACATTCAAGCTGAAGACTTCAACTTGCTGTCTGATCTTGATCTGCAGCAACATCAATTGATGAATGAGTTATCCGGCTTTACTCAGACATCAACGAGTTCAAGTTCTTTTAACCGATCTGGTCGAATGAAGCCCTTGACCCCATCAAACCTTGATGATCTCTTTTCTGCTGAGAGCTCCTCTCCAAGGTACTCTGATCAAGAGTTGGCTGCTGCTGTTTTCTCCCCAACGCGTAAGTCGGCTGTTATCAACCAATTTCAGCAACAGCAAAACATTCTATTACCTATTAATACAATTTTTTCTCCTAAAAATATCGAGCATCCTCTCTTGCACGCTTCTCTATCCGGTCGAATGTCTCCTCGAAAAGTCGAACCTATCTCACCAATGAGCTCTCGGGTTTCAATGTTAGCTCAACGGGAGAAGCTGCAAGAATTTCGCAGCCTAAGCTCTAGGGAGCTCGGGTCAGCCTCGGCTGCCATTGTTGGTTGGCCAGTTGATTCACATTCAAAATGGGGATTCTCCAATGGGAAGCCGGGCTGGGCTGTCAATACCGATGGGTTAGGCAAGCATCGTAGGTCCTCGTCATTTGAGCTATGTAATGGAGACGAGCCTGATTTATCATGGGTTCAATCTCTCGTAAAAGAATCGCCCACCGAGATCAAAGAGAAAATTGCAGTACCGGTCTCGGGTGAGGGTTCTAGCATGAACTCCGATCCAGTCGATAATGCTGCATTAGGTGCTTGGCTCGAACAAATGCAGCTCGATCAACTTGTGGCTCAGCAAAACTGAAACCGGTTTCGTTGAGCCCTCCTGAGGTAGAGACAACAAATAGGTTTTGGTAAATAACATTCGAATTGTTTCTTCGGATTCTGTTGGTTATTGACTGTTGCAGGAAAGATTAGAATGGAAACTTCAATGTTCACCATTTAGTATCAGAATCGTTACAACAACACAGTTAGAACAAGATGATGTAACATTCAACTAAACTTTTTGGGCAATTCATGTTTCAAATAGCTTCATTGTTACACATATCTCCATTATTCTTCAATTTGACAGATGGGTATTGTTTTCCAATTTTAATAAAAAAATGTGAGTTTTTTAGGACTATTATCTTTCCATGACTAAATTGACCAAATGTAAAGTTGTGCGGATAAGAAAACAATGGAAAATTGCAAAATGTCCCATTATACGCATGATAGAAAAGATAAAGAGGGTGATATCTCTATCAGATTAATGTCACATTTAGTCCCTGAATTTTCATTGGATGTTCAGTATGATATTATTAAGGGTTAATATTTCTTTTTGAAAATAAATCAAAGGAGAAAAAAAATATTTGAATTGATGACATATAAGTCCATTAAGAACTAAAAAGTTAGAAAAGAGACATATAATCTCCTTTGAAATTTTATATTAATTGTTTTTTTCCTCTTTGTCCTTTATTGAAATAATAGACAAGCGAATCAAAAGTCTTCAACTTTCGGTGCCTTAGTCGCTACCCACAAATATTCTTCTCCAATAGATAGAGTCAAGATTTACCCTAAATTGTTTTATTTTCAAGGTTTTGATTTTTCATCAATGTTTGAAAGTAAGATAAATAAACAGCGATACCATTTATATCATAATTTGACATAAAACAATTTTTGCAAACTAATAAATCTCTTTATTAATAAAATTAATTATGTATTCAAAGATATAGAATACCAACGATAAGAATTGTAAAGATTAGATTAAAAAGAGAAATTATGAAAATAATCCTCCAAATTTATATTGTATAAAATAAAAATGTATCTCGTAAAACTTATTTTGTAAAAGACACTTTTTAAGACCCGCTACGTTTAAAAAAAATATTTTTTTAATAAAAAAATTCAAAAAATGATATACATAAATAGATAAAAAAATATTTTAATGATAAAATCTAATTTAATACCTATAATAATTAATTTTATTTACATCAAGATATTTTCCCTGAAATGTCATAAAAAATCTATATAAATGTGGTTAAAGCATACACAAATGTTTAGAACATCTTTCACAATCAAGATTACCACTGCCTTTACCATATTTATATGCAAACAAAATTAGCCGAGTCAGCTTACACACGCATATATTATAGTGGATTATCTGATTGCAATAAAAAAATGGATAATTATTTAATTTTAGTTTATATTAATATATAGAATTAATTTAATACTTTATGCATATAGATATATGCATCTCAGTCACCAAACCATATACTATATATCATGCGTAGTGACATTTATTATTACATAATCTGGCAGTTAACACCATTTTCCATTAACTATATAAACTAAAACCCATAATGTTGCCAAATTCAACCACCAAAATTTTTATTAATTTTATATTACAATTTTTATAGAACTTTTAATTTTAGTTTATATTTATACATAGAATTAATTTAATACTTTATGCATATAGATATATGCATCTCAGTCACCAAACCATATACTATATATTTTGCTTAGTGACATTTATTATTACATAATTTGGCAGTTAACACCATTTTCCATTAACTATATAAACTAAAACCCATAATGTTGCCAAATTCAACCACCAAAATTTTTATTAGTTTTATATTACAATTTTTATAGAACTTTTAATATATAAAACTAAATTGTAAAAATAAAAATAATATTGTTTTTATTGATTGCGTGGAAAAATTTATGTGAAATTATATCAAAATTAACATAAGTTTTAATGTTTTTAATTCAAAATTAAAGTATGAAATAGAAAAAAAATATAAATGTAAGTTTTAAGTTTTGTATTTATAAATATTTCTTTTACTTAATAAGTTATAAAATTTTGCATGTTTCCATTATTCATAATATCCTTACTTGTTAGTCATAAAAAAAACACAAATTTTATAAGAAAAAATGTATACGAAATTCTCTTCCTCAATACATGTACATGCAATAACAGTAGTGAAAATGGAAAATAATACTCATCGAATTAAGAATAATATGTGAAGCTAGTAGGAGTAAGAATTAAGAAGGCTTAAGGTAAATTCTATAGTAGGCTCAATTTATTATAAAATACAACTTTCAGGTGACGTTTGGTTCGTTGAAATGTTTATGAGAGAATTAGATCCGTGAAGGAATTGAAATCTGTCAGGAATTAAAATCTGAAACTTGTTTTGTTGGCAGAAAATTGAATTGGAATCCAATTCCATATTCTGTTTGATTCGCAGACATATCAGATGAATTTAATTTCAATAATGTAAAATAACAAAATTATCTTTCTTATTTTTTTTTTGCTTTATTTTAGTTTATTTTATAACTTACATGTAGCAATATATTATAAAAATATTATATTTTCATTTTATTAATTGATTATTCATTTCAATAAATTATAAAAATCATGCTAATAAACATCATAAGTTAAAATCATCGCAATTAGGGATGGCCATGGGTTGGGTTGAGTTTTTGGTCCACCCGACCCGACCCAAGAACAAGGGAACCTCCACACGAGACCCGACCAAACCAAAATGAAATTTCACCCGACCCAACCCGAATATATAAATTAAAAACTCGACCCAACCCGACACGAAATAATAAAAAAATATTTTTATTTAATAAAAACAATGACTTAAAAATCCCTAAACCTGACCTAAACCCTAAACCCAACCCAAACACTAAACCCGATCTGAATATCAAACTTAAAAAACATGACCAATCCGAACCTGATTTTTTTTAAAAAAATCCGACCAAATCCCGAATTTTTAAAAAATAAAAACCGACTTGAATACCAAAAGATTGATGAAGATAGTATTGTCAAATTTCATATTCTCTCCTCCAAAGGATTTCAATTTCATCATGTTATGAATATAATTTACTTTCTCTCATTTAATGGAATTAGATTTCAATTCTCCCTTTGAAAACTTGAACCAAACATGAGAAAGTGGTGGAATTGAATTTCAATTCCCCCTAATTCCAAGGGATTCTAACGAACCAAACGCCACCTTAAAATTATTTAATTGCATCATTCTATACTATATCCTTAACTTTAAACCTTAAATTATAAACACTAAGTTAGAGTTTTGAGTTTATAGGATTATGGTTTAGTGTTTATAATTTAAGATTTTTAAGAATATGGTATAAAATGATGATGTTGTAGACACCCGTTTTGTCCGGGATATAATAATAATTATTATTATATTATTAATATTGTTTATTTTTATTTATTACAGACTCATACTCGTGCCAGTTCCAGCTCCTACATGAAGCCAACACGCCTGAGCCACCGAATGTCATCATGGCTTACGTCAAACAGCACCTGCAAATAACACCAATTCATCCGACAAAATCCACCGAGAGTTCAAGCAAAATGCCTAATCCATGACCTACCCTCATTATTCCTACCTAATGCTGCAACTAATGAAGAAAAAAAGGAAAAAGACAAAAGGGCATTCAATGATAAAATGAAGAGGCAATGATGATGAAAGAAAGAGCTCTCGATCAAAAAAAACAACAGGGGGAACACGATTCCAACAGAGGGTTCATCAATAACAGAAGGGAGGAACACGATTCCAACAGAGGGTTCATCAATAACAAAAGGCAGGAGCATAACACAGAGGGGGAAGGATTCGAATAACCAGAGGGCAAGCAGAAAAAAAACAGTACCAACGATAGAGAGGGAATACTGTAAATCATTCCCCGGAACATCCAAAACAAAAAAGATGTAACGAGGTGATTTCTCTTCCAAAATCCAGAAATGAAAGAAATCAATAAATTACACATTTTCAAGGTATTAGTCTTCGGTTTTCTTTGATTTTCCAGTTTTTGTGTCTGTTTGGGTTACTTTGCAACTAAAGGTATAACATAAATTTTTTTTACTTGTTCTTTCAAAGCAATATATAAAGAAAAAAACAAGTAACTAATTAACCAAAGAACTTATTTGTCTGTTAAAATATTCTATTTGCATTTCAATTGGAAATTTCATTTCAAGTATATATGTTGTTGAATAAAATAAAAAAATTGAAGCTTAGAATATATATAGGATTAATTTACCTTCTGTTTGGAGTTTTCTTTAGCACTGTTGATTTCGTCGAGAGTGAAAATAAGGAATCGTGAATCCTTGGTGGCCGAAGAGAGGGGAATCACCAGAGATTAGGAATCATTCGAATAGGGGATCAACCATTAATAATAATAAAAAGTAAAGAGAAGGAAGAGTGTCGGTCCACCTTAGATGTGTGGTCTCCTCGGTTAGGTAGTTGTCGGCTATCGGTCCCTGTAGCTGAGCGTTGGAGAGTCGGTCTCCCTTAGACGTGTTGGAGAATGGGTTTTATGGGTCTTGTTTTCGTTCTCTTTGGAATATAAAGGAAGGTTTTTTTAGGGTCTAGACAGTGGCTAACCTGATTCCCCCTTTAGTGACGGTCGATCAAGCCTTGTTGCCGATTTACGGCAGTTCGGGGCGTGTGTGAGTCTCGAATTTTATTTTGGGTTAAAGGTTTTTTAGAGATGAGCAAAGTGTTTGAGTCGATTGAGTTAGGTTTTGGTATCCTTGGTGGTTGTTAATGATGGCCGGAGGATGGGTTGAGGCTAGTATTTTCCGATGGTGCTGCTGGTGGCGTGAAGGGCTTTGGTTGAGTTCTCGGCCAAGGAAGATAGAGAGAAGTAAATAAGCAGAGGAACGACGCTGGGATTTAGGTTTACAAGAAATGATGTTTTGCTTTTAGGTTAAATTATAATTTAAGGTAGCTTGGTTAAAAGCTGTCGTTTAATTGGGGTCAGGGTTATCTATTTTGTGCGAATGGTTTATTACTAAAGAAGCTACTCCTATTTTCGATTTAGTTCATTGTAATTCTTACAATCCATGTTTCCTGAACTTTTAATTTCACCTTCGTATTTTACACGCATTTCAACTTGGTCCCTACCCTTAGTCAATCTAAGATTTTATTCGTTTTTTAAATTAGGCACGCCATTTTGATTTTTTTATTATTTATTTTTTTAGATCCATATATGTTTGGGGATTTATTCGTGATTTCATTGTTTGTAATTTTGTGGAGTTATGTTTTAGTCCTTTACATTGTTACTGTTATGACATGCAGTCTGGTTTGCATGGAATTTATTATGTTTATGAGAAGTAAATGTATATTCATGTTGTGCATATTGTTTGCTCCATATTTAACCAGTATTATTTAAGTTCAGGGAGTCAATACATATTCATTCATATTTTCTACGCATACATGGATGGTGAATAGTTAGGTATATGTGTACGTCATACGTGAACCTCATAGTAAATAATAATTGTCCTATTAAATAGGTTTTCATCTTTTAATTATATTGACTTATTTAATATATGGAAGTTATGTGAATTTATTTAATTGTTAAAACATAAATATAATTGTAAGTATCCATCGCTCAGTATGTATGGTATCCTCATGTGTATAACTCGACTTAAATGACATAATTGAATTAAGGGTAATAACCTTTTTATTTAAAATTATTTTAAGTGGGTTGTCTTAACTGATTAGAGATTCGCTTTTGACGATTTTAAATTAAAAGTGTATCCCATTAGTGATACCTGGAAGAAAAAGAAATGTTTAGCTATTTAAATTTGTCGAGAAAAGGTTGTTCTAACTTATTCAAGATCCAGTCTCGATATTTTTAAATAATTGAATATTCTTTATCTTTTTCAAGGCTTGGTAATTTTTGGCTAAATCTATTTTAGTGTTTTTGAATATTATATTTCATTGTAAAATTCATATTTTGTTGTTTTTTGGGATCATAAATCAAATTAAAATTGAATTTGTAAATTTAATTGCAAAGACGTTAATTAATCGACTAGGTATTGATTTTAGGGCGTTGTGGGGGTGCTAATCCTTCCCCACATGTAACCGACTCTCGAACCTGGATTTTGGTAACATTGACCGCAAATTTGTCGTTTTAATTAAAATTAATTTTTATTTAAAATGACGACATTTTTTGATGCCCAATCACACCCTAATCAAAGATTGGTGGCGACTCCTCGAACCATATGTTTTTTATCGCAAAGGAATTTTCAAATTTTCGAAACGAGAGGTTTTCTAAAATCGTATTTGTTTTTAATTAAAAATTAGAAATAAAGATAATAATTAAGTTTTTAAAATCTCGCTCCCCTTTAAATATCGTTTCGATAGATGCAATTAAACAACTTTGATGGTTAAATTGATTCGAAAATACGATCTATGCGAAAGTGATAAATTAAGTTAACTACACAAACAAAAATTACCGTTTACCAATTAATAAATAAACTTTTGTTGAATGTTACATCATCTTCACCATCAAAGGATGATAAATTGCAGCAATGCAAATCTGACAAATATTTGAAGAACAAAAGACCCATAATGTTGCTCATACTTTCTTTTAAACATAAGACAAAGATTGTCCTCACCTCTTCTATCTGAGTTGTTGTAATAATAATAATGATAATAAATGGTGGAAATTGAAGTTTCCATTCTAAAACTGACCTCAATCTCTTTGCCTTCACCATCTTTTCTTCTTTACCTTCAACATTCAATCACCAGCTGAATTCGAAAATCCGAAAAAGAATACAAATGTTATTTACCAAAACCTTTTTTGTTGTCTCTACCTCATGAGGGCTCGATGAAACCGGTTTCAGTTTGACTGAGCCACAAGTTGATCGAGCTGCATTTTCTTGAGCCAAGCACCCAACGCAGCATTATCGACTGGATCTGAGGTCATGTTGGAACCGTCACCTGGGACAGGTGCTGTAATTTCCTCTTTGATCTCAGTGTGAGATTCTTTTACAATGGATTGAACCCATGATAAATCGGGCTCTCCACCACCGAGCTCAAACGAGAAGGACCTGCGATGCTTGCCTAACCCATCGGCATTTACAGCCCAGTCCGGATTCCCATTGGATACTCCCCATTTTGACCATGAATCCACAGGGGGAACCAACAATGGCAGCAGAGCCAGAGCCAAGCTCTCTAGAGCTTAAAAATGCGAAATTGTTGCTGCTTCTCCCGTTGAGCTAACAACGAAACCCGTGAGCCCATTGGTGAGATAGGTTCAACATTTTGAGGAGACGCCCTACCAGATAGTGAAGCCTGCAAGAGAGGATGCTCAATACTTTTTGGAGAAAAAATTGTATTTATATCTGATATCATGTTTTGTTGTTGTTGAAATTGATTGAGAACGGTAGACTTATGGGTTGGAGAGAAAACAACAGCAGCCATCGCTTGATTCGAGTACCGTGGAGAGGATCTCTCAGCAGAAAAGAGATCATCGAGGTTGGACGGGGTTAGGGTCTTCATTCTACCAGATCGGTTAAATGAACTTGACCTGATCAGCTTATGTTGTTGCACATCAAAATCAGGCAGCAAGTTGAAGTCTTCGGCTTGAATGTCTCTCGCATTAAGAGAAGATCGCAGCCGACTAGATTGAAGGTTGCTTCCAGGAAGATGCAGCGCTGGAACATTAGGTTGTGGCCAGCCAATATTAGAATAAGATATGCCGTTCATGGAGGGCGACATGGGTGGAGTAAACGGTGACGGAGACATAACTGATACAGATGAAGGTGATCCGAGCAAGAGACTTATGGGGGCTGTAAAATCCATAGCAGTAGCACCGGAAGTACTCGATCGAGGAGATAGAACAACCGAACCAGTGGAGACATACAGAGGTCGAAGTTCCTCAGGCATATGAGCAAAGAAACATACTCTCCTAGCACAACCAGTACCATCCTTGCACAACCGGGTACGATACTGAGCAGGGTGTAGCCAGCATTCAAAAACACCATGAGCATATTCGCACATATCTCCTCGCCTACATGCCCCCTTGCAAAAATCTGGGCAAGTAACACAACTGTAATGGAACTTCCTAGGATCCCTTCTTCGGGCGTTCTCCCCAGGGTGAACAAATGGGCACTCAATCCAATCATGGGAGTAGGCACGTAAACAAGGCCGCACCTTGAATGAATACATCCTAAATTCATCGGTTGAATAGATGCTGTTCTTGATGTCTGGAAGAGATGAATCAATCAGGTATTCTTTCTTCTTTGAAGCCAAAGAAATAGGAGCATCATTAGGCCTTGACTTCATTGGGGAATCCGAACCAGATGACAATGACCCGTTTTCCAGCAAAGGCAATAGAGGAGTGGAATCAGAATTTGCCATGGCCGACACCCTTGAATTCATATCGAAACCGGAACTCTCGGTCGCAAGGAGTTCTTCAAGAGTTAATTTGACATCTCCAAGCATCGGAGGAACAACAATAACATCAGCAGGCAAATGACCATTGGCGTCAACCATATTTACATCGGCATCGGCAGCTAAAAGCAGCTTCACAACATCGATAACATTAACAGCCCCACCAGATGCAGCACAATGAAGGGCAGTTCTTTTGTCACTTCCACACACACGGTTAACATCAGCATCAGAAGACGAAAGGATCAACCTAATAACATCGATGTTGCCGTACATAGAAGCAACCGTCAGTGGAGTTCTCTCCTCATTGACCATCTGTTTCAACCCTTTTTGACGACCATACCATAATCCAATTTCGACTCTTGGCATGCCAACTATACCTATAGCTCTCATAACACATGACATGGGCATTATCTTTTACCTCATTACACATTCACATATTTATATCACATAGTTCTTTCACATAGCTCTTTATCACATTCATATGATCACATAGTCACGTAGTTTACTTTCACGTAGCATTTTCCATGCAATTCACGTTATTCATCCTTTTCACACATGGTCACATCACATATACCTTTTTCTCAGATGCTATAACATATTATTCTTATCTTTTAACATATATACATATGCATATAATCTTATGTCTATTATCAATATTAATCTATCTTATTATACTAACATATCATATAGCATTCTAATAAAAGCACATATGATCATATTATTTCATATAATTTTATCATATTTTCATGATCACATGACATATTATCATAATACAAGCATTTACATAGTTCACACATAAAAATGCATTCAACAATTAAACATATGCATTTACTCATATACTATACATCTAACACCATATCACTACATGTTTATGCTTTAATACTTATATCATATAATATCGAAATTGGACTCATCGCAAGTCTTAATTCCTTAACATAACGTACACTTACTATCATGTACTCACCTAGCCTCAATGAACCCTCTTAAACTCTTGTTTTCGTTGCGTATCTTACTATATCGACCTATCCGAACTTTGTTTTCGATCGATGTCTACATAATTATATATATATATGCTATCAGTATCTAATTAATATACTTTAGTCTATCATTTCATAGACTGAATAACGATTTATTTCATTTCCCATTGAAGTGCATCGGTGCATTCTACAGTGCATCGATGCACCAACTGTACTCGATGTTTATTATTTGAGAGTGCATCGATGCACATTGAAGATGCATCGATGCACACAACCCATAAATTACATTTTGAGCCCGAAAATTCTTACTTTGACCTCAAATTCTACTTATTAACCCCTCCTTATGCCTTAAAACTTATCTATACATGTATAAACATTTTTATAACACTATAACACTTTACCATCTCCCATAATCCACCATAATTCTTGAATAAAAGAATTTCATTAAATTTTCCATGTGTTCTAATTCAATTCTCACCTTTAACTTCTTAATAACCCATTGACAAGTCAAATCCATCTTTAAAACTTCAAAA